GGTAATCTCAGTCTCGGGGTTCTGAGAAGAGCCAGGTGTGGGCTAGAGCGGGAGGCCTTTGGGGAAGACACCTGCCAGAAGCCAGGGTGAGGGTGAGGGGAGAAGCTGCTGTGGCCTGACATGCTGCAGAGCCTGGAGAGATGGGTCTGGGGAGCAGAGAAAGCTTGATTCAGGTTCAGACTTATTCCCCTGGCTCTATCATTTTTCTGTTCCCTGTTCCCTTCAGCTTTTGCAAAACGAGAGCAGCTCTAAGGGCTACGAGGAGCCCAGGAGAGAGGAAACAAGAGCACCTGACACAAGTAAGAGGAAGGGGGACTAACTGACATGATTTCATTCCAGAATCAAGCAAGAGCATAAAAAACAAGACACTGTGTTCTGTGAGGATGGAAAATTCGATTATTGTTAAATCCTTTGACTCAGGCTTCTTCCAGCTCACTGCCTTTGACTCACTGTGATCAGCATGAGGAGGCACAGGCTGAGGGTCCACATGTATAAAATGTATCAAATGACACCCCCACTGTCATTAGTCAGTAAGATGGGAGGTGTCAGGAGGAGGGAGAAAGACAGTGGATCTGAGTTCCTATCCAGATGACACCCCATCTTTGGGCCTCACTATTCCCATTTGTATAATGAAAGGGTACTTGGATTTGATATTCTATGGTGCCATGAACAGCAGGTGTGACTCGTGACATGTAAAGTACAATAGGAGGGCAGTAGATAGTCAGATCATGACTGTCACCCAGAAGTGAGGTTGTCCCAATATAATGAATATTCAGTAGCTGGCATCACTTCTGGAATGTGGAAGAGAAGCAATGCTTATGCTTGGCTTATTGAATGAACATACATACGTACGGTCTCGTCCCTTTGGGCATATGATTATATATATATTTTTTTCTTTTTTTTTGTTTTACACCTTCTCTTGAGGTTGGAAATGTAAAATTGACTACAGTGATATCAATAATAATAAAAATTAGGAAATTAATTTAGAGGGCAATCTCTAACTTCAAAAACCAGTAATCGAAATTTTCTTGGGATAATTATTTGTCCGGGACACTTCAGTATTTACAAAAATAAGTCATCAAATAGGTGATATGGATGGATAACAAAAGCAAAAGCCAGTTTCTCATATCCGATTTTGCTTCCATCTTTTTGGTCAAGAAGGACAGTTTTCATTCTAAAAATTGCCAGAAAGACTATTGCTAAGAGGCAAGTAAAACCCAGCAGGTAGAGAAGATTGGAAAATAATAAAGCACCCAGCGATAGAGATGCTCTCAGTGCTGAGGCCCAGGGCCCTGGTTCACTTATCAATGGATTTGTCTCAAGGGTTTTGTATACCAGGAAAGGTGCTGGAGGCAGGCCCTCGAGGTTCTGATTTTCAAAGTTGAGAAGGAGGAAAGTCCATAAATTACACAGAAGTAAGCTTAACACCATGGCTAAAAATTCTAAAGTTAATTTTCAAAGAGCAGAGACCACCACGAACCAGCACGGGATCATCAGGCAGAGGCCATGGAGGTTAATTTCATTTTCTTTTTTTCCGAGGTCTCTAGACAGATTAGGCAAATGCCAGAGATACAGAACACCTGGATCATCATAAAGTCCCTTATATTTCTGTGGACAAGACAGAAACATGTGCCTTGGATGTTAGAACATTGCTGGAACTTGTTACTTATTGAATGATTATGCCACACAGGTGCCGAGTTAGGGTTCCCAAGGGCCCGGAGACCCTTGCGCGTCATAGGCCTCTGACTTCGGTTCCACTATGCAACATTTTTATTAGTGAAGTGACGAAAAACAATGAAGGCTTTGCTTTTCAGATCTGAGGAGATACTAAACTGAGAAGAAAAGTGAGGTGCCACGATCACAAGCTATAATGACGTCAACAATAAAGAGAGTTTCCTACTTTCGAAACTGTTCAACTCTTTATTCAAACGAAATCTGACACAGAATTACAATATGTAAATGCAAGCATGGAGGAGCTGCTGTGTTTGAAACGAGAGAGAACACCCTTACATCGCTGCCCTCCCACCTTCCGCTGAGGATCCTCACCCACAAGGGACCCCCAACACCCACAAGGCACAATCTAACAAGAAGGAATTTAACAGTCATCGAATCTATGAAGGGCAGAAAGGTGCATAGCGCGTCCTTATTTTTGCCTTTTGTGATTAAGAAATAAAGAATTTTGTAGGTTCTTCTGCATGTGGGCAGGTGAGGCAGTGTGTACACGATTCAGGGGAACAAACTGCACGTTTCAGCTGAGTGAGGAACAAACTGCACGTTTCAGCGGAAATAATTCTGGAACAGTGACTTCGCTGGATAAAGGAAACGAGGTTGAGCAGGGGCACATGTTAAATGACTTCGCGTCTTTACCTTAGAACCTGAAGCTGAAAGGCTGAGATGCCAACCAAGTGAGTCGAATGGTCTGTGGTGTCACATTGTGCTCTGTGGCATGATCGGCCCCTCCCAGAGTGTGCTGGCCAGCTCTGAGCACCTCAGGGAGACTTGAGACAAAAGCGGGCTGTGTTCGGAGAAGAGGGACAGAGATGGGGGAGGGTGTCTCAAAGCAATCTTATCATCTTGCGACCAGCTGAAGAGATGGGGCTATGGGAGTTAAGGGGATGTAAAGTGAGGATCTGGGGAAGACAGGAAATGACAATTATTTTCAAATACTTAAAGGGAAATCAGAACTTAGGTGGGTTCTGAGTGGCTTTGGGGGCAGGATAATGAACAATGAGGGGAAGAAGAAGGCAGACAAATGGTAGCTCCATCACAGAAAGAACTTTCCAACAGTCAAAAACAATTATAGACAGAATGGAGGAAGACTAAGCTCCATTCACAGAGGTGTGTGACCGTGGTTTGAGGATATCTCCACAGCGCTGCTATACCCTGGCTTCTATGTTTGAAGAAGGGATTGGAATAGATGCCTCCTAATTCTGAAAAGCAATGATTCTAAATAAATTCCCATTTATATAGAATCCTAAACCATCCACACTCCAAACAACCAGATGATTTGTCATAATACGAAGTAATGACAGGTGACATTTTATAAAAATGGCGCTAAGGCTGTGCAAATCTCCAAAAGGACCTTCCTAAAGCAGTATGGATGATAACTAGGAGAATTTTAGTGGTGAGTGTCATTATTTGGTCTGCTATCCATGCTCCGTGTTGTCTCTATTCACCACAATTGATAATGAAGCTAAACGCTCTATTCCAAAGCCAGTCTTGGACAAAGGAGTAAACCACATCAAAAGTGATTCCTTCCACAACTCTGCTTACATGTATTTCTATGGCAGATGCATTGTACAGATTAGCTCTTTAATAAACAAAAGTACATGTAAACTTATTTTCTAAAAGATTCTGATCACATAATACTTGTAAAAAAAATGCGTTTCCTCTTTGGATCATTATGTTTTTGCAGTGCTTCTAAATATGAAGGATGCTAGGTTGTGATAATATGTATATTCCCACTTCTATAGCATCAGAATCACATTAACATACTACTTTTGAATTTAACACTCCTGGACTACCAACACTGTGCAAACTCTTTTTATATCTGATAAAAGTTAATTCTCATACACTGTCCCGATCTACTCTATGAGCTGATGCGTTAGTTGGATCATGCTGCCTGTTCCGGGAGGTATAGGAACATGTGGAGAGGGCTGGAAAGCTTTTTACCCATGACTTGGAAACCAGCAACACACAAGTCCCTAATAACAAGGCAGAAGGTGTGTGAACAGTTAGGACCTGAGCTGATCTCCAAAATGTACCTTGGAGCATTTTAAAGAGTGCACAGCATAAATCATTGACACTACACGATTCCCTTGTAGCACAACTGAGGGCTGAAGTTCTGGTTTATTCGTCCTGTAAGTATCCAGGGAAACATGGAGCTGGCCTGGGTTTGACCAGACGGCACTTATAGACCCAGCCCACTCTAGAAATCTGTGTCTGCATGTAACGTTAATATGCTAAGATATTTGCAGACAAACCCAATATTTAAATTTAATCAGTGCACATAACAAATACGTCGATACTTATTTGCCATTTATTTCACTTTTACATTAAAATAAGGAGAGGTTATCTGCTTCATAAAATATTCAGATTGGTCTATATAAAAGATTTCCACTGGCGTAAAAGTCCATGATTAGTTTGTTTCATAAAAGGTGTCATTATGGGGTTTATTTTAAATATGCACGTACCTAGGTTATATAAAACATAATCCGATATCATATTTGAATTCACCTATAATGTCATTAACTGTGCAACTTTGGTAATTCGCTTTTTCACTTAACCCCCTCAGTGCATTGCTGTGTGGAGCAAACTGATCGGTATAGAGATTTCACTGTTCACATTCTTGCAGTTCTGATTTCTGAGGCATACCAGAGCAAAGCACAGCTCTAGCTATACTTTATACTCATGAATGTGTCATTTTCTAAAATCTGCAATCGTGAGAAATATTAGCAAGAAATGTATAGTCCTTAAATGGCTACTTCCCCACCCAAACATACCACACTGCCTAAGAAATAACTCCAGAAATGAAAAGACTTGGGAATATACATTCACAATCCACAAATAGCTTGATTTCCAAAGGATTCCAGCAACACATTCATACATTTTGAAAATACTTTCCACCCGGCTTCCAACATAGCTCATTTGATCTTGTGCTATTCTAATACGGAAAATAAAAATCCCTGAAAGCAGAGTACAGATTAATTTTGAGAATAAGGACAGATATAAAGACCACAAACACGAGAGAGAGACTCCTCTGAAGCTGCAGGGAAAACACGCTATATCTCCAATACTCCCTCCTATTCAGTCCTCAATTACTCTTCCGGGCCCAGCGTCTGCCCTATGTGGCCACTGCAAATTCTATGTCTGAGGCTGGGCCAACGACAGGGTCGCTCTATGTAGGAATATCTGGGTATCCCTCATTATTAAAGTGCAGAGAAGTGTAAGGCCACAAGGCCAGTCCTGGCATCAAAACCAAATAGACCCCCAGGACTTACCAGCTGCTCTGCTGGTCCCGTCCTGCCCAGGTGACGGTTCTGCTGTTCGTGAATAGAGGATTGGCAGGTCGGGGAGCTGGGAGGAAATATAATTTACTGCATCTGGTAGCAGAGAACAGGGAATACAATTAGGCACGGTGTCGGGAGGCCCAGTGGGTTCGCTGCCGAGACAGCAGCTCGTCTGCCCTACATAATGGAGCGCCCAGGCGAGCACTGAGCGAGAGGATCAGGGTAAACAAAGACAAGCATTTGCCCAGTGGCTGGTATTCAGCAGAGTAGCTGAGGCAAGAGGGATCCTGGCCAAAGAGCTCAGGCCCAGGACTGCTCTGTGTATTAAAAGATTCATCAGAAAGCTCTGGATTCTGAGAGTATAATGAGTTCGGGGGGTGGGAGGGCAAAATGAGATAGGCCAGTGAGAGTCAGTATTAACTTGGTGGCATTGACCATATATGGAACATCGAACTAGAAATGTGCATTAAACAGTCTTGAAAAATAGATTTGGGTCTCACTCCCTGAACTGGAAATATAGCTTTATGTGCCTGATTCATTTAGAAGGCGAGTTTTAGATGCATTAAAAACAAACAAACGAACAAACAAAAAAACCTCTAGAATTTATCCCATGATTTTATCCCATGATTTCAATACTTCAGACAGATGTTTAAGACCGAAAATCCTGACATTCCAAATAACACCCAGCGAAACCACCATTTAGTTCATAGTGCAAAAGAGGGAGACAAGCTCTATTCGGGAGAATACAAGCCCATTCTGGGAGGTGAGAGATCCTGGAGGGTGTGAATGTCAGCAGGGTGACAAAGTGTCAGGGAGAGAAGGAAATCACTGCAGTGAGACAAGGAGAAGAGTCTGTGTATGCCCCAGAGATTAGAAGCCGAGGTAAGAACATTCTAGAAAGCTGGGCTCTATGTGATGTGATTCTTTCCTGTGTCACAACGAAGTCTCAGAATCCTGGAATATCGATCAGTTATCGGTAATCACATCTGGCTGCTTACTGCATATCTCTACTAAATATCCCACAATCACCTCAAACTCAACATGTCCAAAACAGGACTCTCGTCTTCACACATCTGCTGTGTGTGACATTCTCCTGTGCTCACGGGCACCATAATTCACCCGGGGTCCTGGGCAGCGACCTTCACTCGCCCTCCCAGTCCAGTTAGTCCCCTAGCCTCTACCTCCTTTACCTCTCTTACCTCTGTCTCATTCTCTGTATCCCTGTCAACACCACCTTAGTCTTGCTGGGTTTCCTTTTCCTTTTTGTAATTTCATGATGGAGAAGACCACGAACAGACACTGGATTAGGATTAGGATTAGTTCAGTTCTACACCGGCTAGACCACTGCCGACTCGTGTGTGAGTCTGAACAATCCAGAATGTACTGATATTAGACCATTTGGTTCCCAGTGCAAAGGACACACTCTGTTAGTGAGGATAGAGCAGAGTTTCTCTAAGACAATGGATTTTTCCGTATCAACCATTTGGGGAGAAGGAACAGGCAATTAGGAGTAGGCAGGCGGGCCTTAGGCTGAGTGAGGTTCAGGTCACTGTCTCTCTCGGGGCCTTCTGTGTGCTGGAGCTTGGATCCTGGGTCTGGTAGACATGGTTGAAGGCCCTCCTTTGTAAGGAAGAAAGTTAGGCCTTTGAGACGTTGGAATGGGAGATGGCCAAAGCAGGAACATTTTAGAAAAGATGGGCTCCATGTTCCTGGAAGCAGCCTAGGGGACCCCCTTAAAAAAGGGCCTGGATTCAAGCCAGGGCTCTGAAGTTGCATTTAAAAAAAACCCAAAAAACAAAACAAAACAAAAAACCTCTAGAATTTATCCCACGATTTCAATACTTCAGGCAGGTGTTTCAGCCAAAAAATTCTGAGATTCCAAATAACACCCAGCTGAACCCACCATTAGCTCATAGTGCAAAAGAGGCAGAACAGCTCTATTTGGGAATGCAAGCCCATTTGGGGAGGTGAGAGATCTTGGAGGGCGAATGTCCGAAACTGGACATTATTTTCTATGTGGAACTGCCCTGCCAGCATTCTTCAACTCAGGTTGCAGACCCTACTCTCACTGTGGGGAGCTGTGTGAAGGGTCTGGGCCCCAGACCAGCACAAGGCGGGACCAGAGACAGCAGCAGTGCAGGGTATGCCAGCCCTGCGAGGGTAGGGGTAGATTTCTAACAGTGGTCCATGGGAAGAATGGAACAGCCATCTGGGGCTAGAGGGACAGTTTCAGAGACAAACAATGATCAGAGCAGACTTGTAGAACTTCCGAATTCCACTGAACATTTCCAGGAATCTGTGGAATGGGACCTCAGGAAATCTGACTTCCTGCATTTAAATGAGATGGAGGCTCAAGCTATTAAGGTGAGAACTCACGGACCGGTCACATGTATATCTTGTACATTCTATGCTAAATATAATTTCTAGGGCACCTGCGCACCTGAAAGTTTTAGTAACTAGAAACAAAAGCCACTCACAGACAGGGGACTCTGGATTCTAAGAGTACCTGAAAGAGCACATGATTCCCAGTGCTTATTTCTCAGCTTCCCCTAGGAGGGAAGCTGTGAATGGAAGATGCAGTTAGTTTTGCCGAGTGTTCACTGGCTACAAGCTTGAGAATGCAGGTCATGGAGGGCTGGGGCTACCGGGCTTCTGCTAAGAGATAAGGGAGTGGCAAGGAGCATGATATGAGGAAGAGAACAGGGCATCCTTCTCAATATATCAGTAAGTAGTAAACCCTAAGGTTATGCAGCCAGGAGGTGTCACACAGGCCAACACGAGGAATAGCGACCAGGGCCGCCAAAGCTTCCACAGGAGAAATGCCTTTGTGTAGCCTCAGGCAGTACACTGCCCTCTTCCTGACAAAGTCGGGTTGGTCTATCATTATTCTTTCTAGTGTCAGAGAAGATAGAGAGCAGTTGCTTACAAAGTAGACATTTAAGATGAGTGCTTCTGATTAGGTCCAGCACCGCTAAAATATTTAAAATCTTTACCGTAGCTATGAAGAACATACATAGGCAAAGCTAGAGAAACAAAGTTGATGAAAACGCCCCTGAAAATGTGATTTCTGGGCAACTAGAAGACACGCTGAGGTTTTCCAACAATTGGTATGAAGGTTTTGATATGGGGGATGGCTCCAGGTCACCACAGACTGGGTGGGATGGAAGCCTAAGATCAGTACCATACAGCAAGGACTGAGATAGGCCCAGGGCTTTTTTCCTTGTCAATTCTGGCCAAGGGTTTCACACCAGCTCCGCAGTAGGTAAAAAATAGAGTTGGCACTAGATACATACTATATGCGATTTATAGTTACAAAAGACACTATTTAAGGCAGAAAAACAACTCACCTAATTGATAAGACTCTACTATATAACAAGTGTGCATATGGGGGGAGGGAGGAAGTATGTGTGTGCGTTTGTGTGTGTATATGTGTGTGTGTGTGTGGGGGGGAGTCAGAATGTATATGGCCAGGAAATTCTACTCAAGATTAGAATACATTGCTCTTGATTGCCAGGGCTACCACGTGATCCAGCAGTATAGGACCTTTTCCTCTGACATGCATAGGGTGACAGGCACAGGATTCCCCAAGTGGGGTCATTACACATGCACAAACCAGCAGCCATCTCCTTGGCACCTCATCAAACTAGGTCTGCTTTTCCTAATTATCTGCAGCATCTTGTACAGTTATATAATCCTAGTTAGCCCTGGATTCTGTAATCAGCGTGCTTTAGAAGTTAGATATTTGTCGTAAGGTATTATTATTCTATAATAACTTCGTGTTAGTTTTTAGTAACAATGGTTGGTTCTACGAGAGTCTTGGCAACTTTGAAATCAAGGGGGCTTTAGTTTTTACCCCCAGACCATACGGTGACCTAAACATTGACCATGTTCTTGGAAAGATGTGTTTCCTCCTTCAAATTTCCTTTTTTTGCCGGTTGGGTAGATGCTATGCAATGGAACACCCTCCTCTCCCCGCCCGACTAAGTTACAACCAAAGATGGCAATAAACCACCATCCAGGGCGACAGGTAAGACAACAGAAAGTTTTCCCTGGCCATTTCCTGGGATCCTTAAGACTTTTACTTCCTCTTAACTCAGGGCCACCCATCCTGTCAAAGAGCGACAGAGGACAAAGTCATGAAAGCAGTTTTCTCTGCAGGCTCTTTTTAGTTATGACCAGGTTTCTCACCACCTCTATGAAGTGCGTAGGTGAACAGATGAAAACAGTGAGAAGTGATACAGGAGGAAATGAGAAACGTTCAGAGTGAAAATGAAAGAGACAGTGCTGAGAGTTTATAGGGAGGCTTCATTTTTGCTTATCGACATGTCCTAGGCTATATGGGTCTCCATGCCCGTGTAGCCTTCCTGGGGACGTGGCATGCAAGGATCTTTCTCTTCTCTAAGTAGAGAGAGAAGTACAGAAAAGGTCCTCGTTTGAGAAGGGAGAGGAAAAACAAAGAATGCGTAAAAGGTCATTGTGTACCCTCCTGGTATGTGGCTGTCTGTGGGTCGATGTCCCAAACCCCATCCCAGCCTGACACTTACTGCAGTACTGCTGACAGTGTGCCCTGTCTCGGGTCTTTCCCGGCACCAGGGAAGCCGTCCACCCTTCCCATGCTGCCACCCTTAAGCCTCCAAAACATGCAAGGCCACTTCCTCAGACTATGCTCTATCCCCAAAGCACAGAACGAGAACCCTGATTTGGCCACATCCTAGAGAACACTCTAGAACTGTCATAGGTCTTCCTCCGGGAGTCCCTGATGGCTTAGCTCTGACTTGCCCCTGCCCACATGCTCTGGGAGCAAGAGGTTTAATTTAATATGTTCCCAAAGGTCACCGGAGGAGCCAAAACCCAGATCCCTTACCTTTTACTTGCTGAGGAAACACACACACACACACACACACACACACACACGCACACGCACACGCACACGCACACACACACACTTTTTTCCTTTGCTAAAGTCAAAATTATCCTTAGTGCAAGTATCTTTGCTAATCCAGAAAGAATGCATTATCCATCTCGGCATTTTAAAATCTTTTCTCATATATTGCCAAATGACACTGAGGAAATACTGATGTCAACTCTTATTCTGGCTCCTGATCATCTTCGTAGTTAAGAGGTTGACTTTTAAGAACCCGGTGAGCAGATGGTATCTGATCCTTCCAACAAGTCTGATATTTTACAACAGGTCTAGCTGAGGGCCAGAGTGAAAGTGGGAATCGAGTGGTTTTCATGAGTTTGTAGCTAAGGTTAGGGGAGCAAGGTGAAGAACGAGTTCATCCCCAAGTTCCTCCCCATGGCTCCAGGTAAGGGGAGCAGAGGGCAGGGGCAAGGAAGGGAGAACGGGAAGAGAGCCCACTCCTACCAGGATGGGTCAGAAGGTCAGGCCCTGTCCCAGACCTCGTGTGCTCTGGGCCGCCCCTGCCCCACAGGGAGGGAAGTCCTGCTAGCCCCGTGGCCCTGGAAACCTGGAGAAACTGCAGTTCTCAGACTCAAAAGAAAACCAGGGGCCTTAGGAAGGTTCATCAGCCTTCTGATGTGTGTTCTGACCTGGACACCTAACCGGCAGCAAAAACGGGATCATTCCTTCCTGCGACCTGGTCCTGCTATTGACACTCTTTACTGAACATCTTTCAGAAAAGTGAAAGCGGTGAACCCCGGGGAACAAATGGGAAGGACAAGAGGCAGGCCAACTGCGTGAGACTAGAAACAGTGTCAGGAGAGAGGAAGAGGACACTCGGGGTGCGGGCCTCCTTGGTGCCCTGCAAACAATGCTGCTCTTTCTTTCTGATGTCTTTACAAACTAACACACCGCGTCTCCTGGTGAGCCTGTGTTTGTGAAGCTAAGCTGACCCAGATGAAAACATTCATCTACAGACGGGGCAGAGAGCGCTCACACTTACCTCCATCCGTATTGGAGAAGCTCTGTGGAAACAAAAGCAGGGCTGAGCGTTACTACACAAGTGAGGAGGGAATCCTTCATCTGTTAAACCCGTCATCGTCCCCTAGGCCGAGGCCCAGAAATGGACTGTAGTGGGCAAACCTGATGCTCTCTTTTCTCCTAGGAAATCTGTTTGGGATCTATTCCCACCTTATAGAGATTTATTTCATCTAGCTATCCAGCAAATACCTTTGGTTTTGTGCTATTGGAAAATCCCATGTTAAAATTAATTTGTTTATACTGCTTTCCTATCGCTGATGGGTACCTGAGGAAATGGGAGTTATAAAACAGAAGGAAGGTCCTAACATAGTCAGAGCCTACTGGCTTTATGGTTTTTCTCGTCTTTGCTACATAACACTCTGTTTTCATATACGGTAAAATTTTATGTATTTTATATATTTACATTTTGTTTTCAGAATTCGTGTCCATTTGATTGGTATTGCCTCTGGCCTTTTTATAAAGGAAAGACTTAAATTAAAGCCACGGGGATTATGTTTAATCTGCTTAATAAGAATTGGCTTTAGGATTCTAGACTCCAATGGGAAATGACCTTTCAGGCATTAGGCAGATAAAGGGTTGGGACAGTAGGTAGATGGGGTTAATTTAATAAATATTCTCGGTGCCTCCCAGCAGGCCAGGTGGTCCCATACCTGAGGACAAGCCACTCTCAGCTGCAGAGATGGCACTGGTCCTCACACATCTGCCCCTCATTTACAGACTGTGTGGCTCAGCCTTCTCATCAATACCAACTGGCCTTTTCTCCAATTGGCATCATTTTGCTCACTTCTCTGTGAGTATAACTGAAAGAAATCACATTTGTTTCCTTTACCTTCTGAAAGTCCTTGAAGGATTTTTCCGTCTCTTTCAGTTTCTCTAGGATGATTTGCTCTTTGGCAGATATCTGGGACTCTTCACTTTCTAGCGCTTGTATTTCCTGCTCCAGCCTGAAAACGCACAAACAGAAGATGGGTTACTTTATTGTGCCGCCATCCCGGGGCCAGAGAGCAGCTCCTTCCTGTGGGGTGACTTCCTGGCAGTCTCCGTTTTACATTATGCTGAGGTACCAGGCCAAGGTTTTACATTACAGAGCATCCTGTGTTTTCAGCTTTGCTACTGAGCAGACGTTATTAGTCAAAGGAAAACAACCCAGAGCTACTGCCACTAGTCCATGGCCACCACTTTGCAAGACGCTTTGGTGTCTCGCTTCCAACTCAGTGCGCACATTCTTAATTTGGAGGTAGATATTTTTACAGAGCAGAGGACATCATATCTGAAGGAAAACAGCTTCATAGCCTCCGAGCTGTCTCGGAATAGCTGGTCTTCTATCAGGTTGGACAAAGGGTGATGAGCCAGTCTTGCTCAAAGGAAATATGTTACCAAGAAATGGCTGGTGGCCAGGACCACTGGGAGACTGCTGTCATCTCCCTCAGTGGCCTCCCCTCTACTGCCAAGAAGAGGGGAGATGGAGTGAACTGATACATTTGCCCCCACTTCCTCAGTTTTCACAGCCATCCCATACGTTCTCTAAAAGGGAACTTTCAGCATTGCCAGGAGACTCTGGGAATACTCCAGAACAGCAGCTACTTATGATTTGGAGGAAGTCTCAGCAGCTGTATTCTTTCAATGAAATGATAATAATAAATTAACTTTTACTGAGCACTAAATCTGTGCCAGGAACCGAGCTATGCATTTATATGGCTTATTTTATTGAACCTTTCTAATGACTCCATGAGTAAGGAATCCCCATTTTACAGATGAGGTCATTAAGACTTGACAAGAAACTAGTTAACTGCTGCAGAGCCTCAAAGCAAGGATTCAAGCCAGGAAGTCTAACTCCAGGCCCTGCTCCTAATCACTGTACTGAAAACTCTTACCACATAGATTCTATAGTTATTTCACATACTCCTGTCTTGTTAAACACTGAGTATGTTGGCATACTGGCGTGGCATTCTTCTCCAGCAATGCCTTTGGGGTTATGAGGGATGGATGTCTTCTGCCTAAAGGACTCCAGGCTACTGTGCTTCTAAAATTATTTGGTCTGAATTTATTCATTGGTTCATTCAATTTTGCTTTTGGTCTCGTTTCTCTCTGTCGTGCTGGAGGCTTTGCTGCAGGGTCTGTGCCCACCTACATTAGTCTTCTCCCACCTCCTCCTCCCTTTCCATCTTCCACTCTGCAGGTGGGGACGGGCTCACCAAGTCTGTTAGACTGAGACCCATAGTAAAGAGTTCAAAGTGAGATCTTCTGAGGGGTAAGGAACACCAAGCTATAGGCATGGATTTATTTAGGGATGCCCTCTGGGGCCTTTCCTGTTTCCTTCTTGGGCGTCAGAAAAATAATCTCTGTTTGGCTGAGGCTTTGTGGCAATAACTCTGGCTTACGAAGACAAAACCTATATATAATTGTACCCCCTCCAAATGAACACAGCTTCAGATATACTTATCATTTTACTCACAGGAAAAGTGAAAGACCTTACAATGACTTATAAGGCCCTATAGTACCTTGACAAGTACCTTGTCTAGCCTCCCAGTACCTATACAGCCTCCACCCTTACCAACAGGCCTATTTCACTAATGCTTTAGTCAAACAGAGCTAGTCTTTTTTCCCATTTGTGCCCCATGTTTTCCCCTCCTCCAAGAAACCCATCTCAAAACTGTAATCATTCGTGAAGTCTCTGCCCAGATACCACCCACACCATAATGCTTTCATAGATTTACTACTATTTTGGTTTCTCAGAGGTCTTATCAAGTCCAGTATATAGTAGAATGGTGGTTCACAACCAAGGCGATTTTGTCTCCTAGAAGATGTTTGGCAATGTCTGGAGATATTCTGGTTGTCCATAGTTCAAGGGCAGTGGAGTTGGTGCTACGGGTATCTGCTAGTGGGCAGAGGTCAGGGATGCTGCTAAGTATCCTGCAATACCCCCCAGTATCCTGTATAGCCCCCCTAACGAAGAATCATCTGGCCCCACATATCCGTTGTGCGGAGGTTTAGTAACTCCATGTATTAGAGCATACGTAAATTATTAATTTTCCCTACTAGATGATAAATTCTTCATGGAGAGGGCACAGATGCTCAATACAGGTATGCTGAATGAATGAAAGAAGCTGAACCAAGTTGCAAAAAGCCGTGGTTCAGACAAGATGAGACCTTCAGGATTTCTGAGACCAGGGTGAGTTCTTCAGCAGGCTTTGACTTGGGAGAGGTTGTATGTGGGCTGAGGTGCAAACAGAATCTAGAGGCAAGGGGGCCAAGCTATACAGATATTAAATAAAGATATCAAACTCCTTTGCTGTTCCAGATGTTCAGCAAACTCTTCTATACACATCCGTGTAAGTTATTCGGGGGTGGGAGGGGCGGGGATCAAGAACGGGAACATGAGTGTGGAATAGGGAAAACACACAATGAGATAATCAAATGATCCTGAACCTGAACTAATTCAATGGGTAGAGGACCTCTAGACTAGAAGTTTCCTGGAAAGACTGAATGGTAGTACTGGCCAGGTGGGTTCTGAGCAAAATTATTTGAATCTCAAAGGACAGAGCACCTCGGCAGCTATGTAGGATGTGGGTAAATTCTATTATTCTCAAATGTATTCTCTGCTTTGGCCAATGGGATGTTGGTAGACGCAACACAAGGAGAGGCTTGAAATGTGTTTGCCCAACTGGGCTTATCCTCTGGCGCCTCTGCCAACAGCATCAAAGGGCTTTTCTGGGCGGCTGCTATCCGTTCGAGTGTCTGTGCCCTGGAAAGAACACATGGGGAGTAGACTGAAGCTCAATTCAGAGTCAGAAGCCATGTCCTGTGGGACCTGCACCTTAAATTAGAGTCATTCAGCTGAGCTCAGCCTTGGTTAGCAAACATCTAGTCTAGTCACAGGAAGTATGAATAAGAATGATTTTCGTTTTAAATCACTGAATCTGAGAGTAGTTTGTCATAAAGTACTATTGTGACAATGGCTAACTAATACAGCTCAAATATTAATATGTTATAGGGATATATATTATATGTGTATGTATTATATTATATGATATGTATAATATATACGTATATATATCCATCCTAATACCTGAAGCTAAAAAATTAGTTATAAGCTACTCTTGCTCCACTTTCCCCAATCTTCAGAGAAATCTGGAAGGACGTAGGTCACCCCTTCATTAGGATTAAGATTGAAAAAATAGGAAAATATCGATGGTAATTGTCTCTGAGTAATAGGATACTGGCTGATTTTAATTTTGTTCTTTAAAATTTTTAATATGTTCCCAACTTTTAAAAATTCATGTATTCTTGACCTAAGCAGAAGGAAAGCAACAAATCGCTTTTAAAAAAGGCCTCGTTTGGCCTGGTGCTGAGAAGGCAGGCTTTCATAGGCTGTGGCACAGGAAAGGAGCCAGGGCCTCAGCTTCTCATAGCAAGTGAGGGGTTGAATGGGCGCATGACAACATCGATTTACAGTCAATTCAACCAACATTCACTGAGCTGGTTTGGCTGGACTTCAAGCTAGGTGCTATAGGAGATTCTAAGATAAACAAGATTATGTTCAAAATGACTGACTTAAAAAAAAAAAGAAAAAAGGCTGACTCCAAGTAACTCATTTCTCCTGGTGAAGCAGCCCCAAGTGATTAAGAATTCTCTGTGACCTGATGCCCACTGGCTGGCCCAACTGTCTCCACAGCCTGCCTCTGGCCCGATGGGTTTCATGGCTCTCAGCTATATAGTTTAAGTGCTAAAGATGTGGGTCATGATACTGCGTAACTGAGAAGGAACGAAGAGAGAATGAGAGAAAAAAAAAAAAGCAATGAAACTAGACTTTTGCGATAAGAACAACTGAGTTTCGCCCAAAGGGAATGAATGCGGGTAATCGACAGTGTATATAAGTCCAAGCAAGCCAGACCAAGTAGCAGATCTGTCTACAAAAGCACATGTCGCTGTGGGCCTGGTCCTAAGGGTGCTGGGTGGCCCAGGCTGCTGTCTTTCTGTGGAAAACCCGAGTCTTTGGGGTTGAGGA